TCGGCCGGGGCAGCGCTAGGCTCCTTCCGTGCACTCAGCCGGAGCTAGAAAGGGGTAGACAGGATTTGAAGGTAGGGTAGGTCATTTTCACACCGTAAGCCACATTCTTAACCATTACGCTAGCGTTATAGAGTCATAAAATAATTCAGAGTCCAGAAACTCAAGGTACTTCGTGAACGGTGGGTGAGGGGTGCACAGTAATGGGTGATGTTCACGGGATACAAGTTATGTGCCTTAGATGCACTGTATTTTTTCTTCACAGCAGTCTTCCATGTGAGAAGCTACCGTCCACATTTAAAAAATTTTTTAATTTTATTTATTTTGAGAGACAGAGACAGCAGGGGAGGGGCAGAGAGAGGGAGAGAAAGAATGAGAAAGAATCCCAAGCAGGCTCCGCACCGTCAGCATGGAGCCCGACGCGGGGCTTGAACTCGTGAACCGCAAGATCGTGACCTGAGCTGAGAGCAAGAGTCCAGTGCTTACCCGAGTGAGCCTCCCAGGCGCCCCGCTACTGTCCACATTTTAAGACAGGGGATAGAAGGTTCCCCACCTCCCCTCTTGAGAACTCAGTAGTGAGGTATTTGGAATACATTCGTCTTTGCAGTAATAGTTTCTATGTCAGAGTTACCTTAGACCCGAAGTAGAAAAAATGTGGCAGAGTTTATATAAGCAGTTGAGAGGCACAGCCCGGGGAGTGTGACCGGGAAGGAACAAAATGCTTTAAGGACACACCGAAGCCTGTCCAATAGACAGCAGTTTGTGGAGAAACCACAGAGGCAAAACTTAGCTGAAAAGGAACAATCACAAGTATTTTCGAGACAAGTAATGATCACTCTAAACGAGAGGCTCATTTCTGGGCGTAAGAGAAAAGTTATTTGTTTGAAAACAGCCGCCAGCATCATGATTAGCCTTGAAGCACTAAGTATTTTAAACAAAGTTAACCAAACAGAGAAAACCACTATCCTGGCTATTGAGCAATTATGCTTGAATAAAATCCAGATTCTTTGCCGTGACTTGGGTCACCCCCCCGACCCCCGTCCCTGCTGCATCCGGAGCCCCCGCGGTTCTCTGCCTCTCTGGTTGCCTCAGCTCCTACACCAGCCCCGTTCCTGGCAAAGATACTCCTTTGTGTTTGGGTCTCCATCCCCCTGCCCCGAACATGGCGCCCCCGGATTTCACTGGTCTGTTCTCCCCCATTTTGGAGGCTCCCCCCAACCATCGAGTCTCCAGGAAAGTGTCCTCTGCTCCTCTCTGCCTCCTCCCCAACCCCAGCTGCCTCCTTGTTGCCCTCATGGCGTCCCTCATGTCTTACCGCTTCTCTTATTTGTTTTTTGTGGTTTATTTTACGTCTTTGCCCCTGAACTTGAGCTCCCCGAGGACGCAGACTTTGTTCACCGCTCTAGCTCTTGCCCTTAGGAGAATGCCTGGCCTGGGTGGCTCAGTCGGTTCAGCGTCCGACTTCGGCTCAGGTCATGATCTCACGGTTCGTGAGTTCGAGCCCCGTGTCAGGCTCTGTGCTGGCAGCTCGGAGCCTGGAGCCTGCTTCGGATTCTGGGTCTCCCTCTCTCTCTACTCCTCCCCCACTTGTGCTCTGTCTCTCCATCAAAACTAAATTAAAAATGTAAAAAAAGAAACAATTAAAAAAAAAAAGAAGGAGAATGCCCAGTACACAGGGGTTGATTTGTATTTATTGAATGAGTGAATTAAAATGTATTACCTTATCCAGGTGCCAGTGGTAGCCAGGTAGAAGATAAAGGACGTTAATAGCAGGAATAAAAAATATAAAAGGGAGCCTAGGAATAAACTTAAAACACGTGCAGGACCTGTATTCATTTATTCATTGGTATTTACAGAGCCCCTACTGTGCTGGGCACCAGGATTTCAAAGATGTATAAGACCAACACATCCTTGATAGTTGCGAGCATAGAAAACACAAAATTTACCCGAGAGACAGAACACCTTTTCCCATTAAAAAAAAAAAAAAAAAGTATGTTAATGTTACTTAATTCAAAATTCTGTCTCTTGTTTTTTTATTTATCGGGCAAGAAATGAGTGAGGCGTGACAAAACAATTATGTGAAGTTCATCTGAAAGAATAAACTTCAGAGACAACTTGATTTTTTTTTTTTTAATTTATTTATTTTGAGAGAAAGTGAGAGCAGGGGAAGGAGAGAGAGAGAGAATCCCAAGCAGACTCCACACTATCAGCACAGAGCCCGACGTGGGGCTCAAACCTACAAACGGTGAGATTATGACCCAAGCCTAAGTCGGGGCGTTTAACCAACCGAAACCCCCCCCCGGTGCTCCCAGTTCCTCCACTTTACAAATGGTGGCATGGAGGCCCGAAGGAGACCATTTCCTCCCTCAAAGCCATACAACTGGTTGGTCAGTGGGGCTCCCTTTACCCAGAGCCTCTTCAGTTTAGATTGTAGGTGTCTGGGTGCAGAGAAAATAATGCAGCCCGTAAACCCACTGACATACTTAAGTTGTGGACAAAAACAGCGCAATTCAGAGTACACTTTCCAGAAAGGGTGGGAGCTTGTTAGAAAAATTAGACTTCTAAGGCTTGGGTTGGGTACAACGGGTTTAGAGGATTATTAGTCGGCCATGTGTGTATTAACATTTTGGAGTTTCAGAAGAGTTTTTTTTAAGTTTGTTAATTTTGAGAGAGAGCAGGGGAAGGGCAGAGAGAGGGAGAGAGAAGAGAGAGAAAGGATCCCAAGCATGTTCCACGCTGTCAGCTCAAAGCCCAGTGTGGGGCTGAAATTCATCAACCGTGAGATCATGACCTCAGCTGAAACCACAAGTCAGATACTTAACCGACTGAGCCCCCCAGGCGCCCTGGTTTTTTCTTTTTTTGTTTTTTTCCCCCCCTGAGGCTTTTTTTAAAAATCTAATTAGATAATGAAATTTTTTGTTTTATTTATCTTTTTTTACAGTTTACCAGTGATTTAAGAATCACTGGGGCTTTTTGGGGTGTGTGTGTGTTTTTAGAGTTTATTTTTTTTATTTTGAGAGAGAGAGAGAAAGAACATGAGCAGGGGAAGGCCATAGAGAGGGAGTGAGAGAAAATCCCAAGCAGGCTCCACACTGTCAGTGGAGAACCCAACATGGGTCTCGAACTCACAAACCGTGAAATCATGACCTGAGCTGATATCAGGAGTAGGGATGCTTAACCAACCTAGCCACCCAGGCGCCCCCAAAATTTCTACTTCAATCCAAATTGAGATTTTTATCGATTGTGAAGATAGGTTTGCTTTGATCCGATCTTAGGGACCCTTTGATATTTGAACAGAAAGGCCAGAACTCAGGTAGCGCTGTGTGTCCAGAAGCTTCCCTGAATTTCAAGATCCGTACTTGAGTAGAAATCAAAAGCAGCCTTTGAAACGTGCTAGCCTTGTTTTAAAACGTAAAGCATACAAAGTGGTGGCATCTGTCCTGGTTCATCACAAAATTCACGGTGTTCGTTCACTGTCTCTACACCTTGCGTAGCGGCTGTGGGTCAGCACTGCACGAGTTCCGTGGATTAAAAAAAAACTAACACAAATAAACACAAATGCACAGTAAACAGACGCACATGCACGGGGTCCTGCCCTTTGCCCCAGGAGCCCAGGATGCGAGGCCGGCAGGTGGCTGAGGAGATGTGACAAAATATGTACAAGGTGGCTGTAGGAACACTCGTCCGCTCCTTTGGGGGAAGAGCGAGAAAACCTTGCTTGGACCTGAGCAGCAAGGGGCAGCCCAGAGGTCTGAAGCTCCTTCAGATTAAATCCCCAGTGGTGGATGGGTTTCTGGTGCTGAGGAATGTTTTCATGACCTCTTACGATAAATGCTGCTTCTCTGGTGGAACCCCCAAACTCCTTGAAAAAAAAAAAACACAGCACTCTGAACTTTTCCCTGTGTCTCACTGGCACCTCCAGGGGGTGGAAAAAGTGTGTGGTAATTTAATACCATTTAAGAATAATAACAATTTTCTGACTTCTGCCAATCGGTTTTTATCCTACATCCTTTTTATTTCCTACCAATTCTTGTTCCAACTCCGTTTAATTTTGTTAATTACAACTTTGGAAGGTGGACGCCCTGCTTTCTTTAAGACAGCCTGTGTTACTGTTTCTTTCAGGGGTGAATCAGGTGCTGGGAAGACAGAAAATACTAAGAAAGTCATTCAGTACCTTGCTCATGTCGCTTCTTCGCACAAAGGACGGAAGGACCATAATATTCCTGTAAGTTTTCGTTCCGTTGTTCATTTAATGCCTCGGTTTATTCTTTTACGATTGCAGAAACCAGAATAAGGAAGCACAGCTACTCAGTGTCCTGCTGGAACTGACTGCCCCCTTGTCTCCACGACCCCCACCCAGAAACTTCCTCCGCTCAGGAGGGAATTGTAGTACCTAGGTTTTCTAACAGGCCAACCAGAATTACGATTCCGGCTTGAAGCCTGATTTCTTGCAAAGCTTTGGGAGGAATGGTTAACGATCGAAGAGCAGTGTTTTGAAGATTGTCTATTTCCACCAAAAGATGGTCCTCAAGGGTCTTTAGCTGTCTTTTCTGAGCAGGGACACAGGCTGTTGCCACTGGCCATAGAAGCTTGAGACGAGGATGGAAATTTGGGGGCAGTCGATGATAGAAAAGGGGTACAGATAAAAGGGGGTCAGTGATCCTGAATCTGCCCAAGTGGCAGCTGATCCCTGAGGAACGCCAGCCAGATCCGCTGTCACAGCTCTGAGGTGGACGGTCACGTGGTGCTTTAGATGTGGCTCACCGCTTAGGGAAAGGCCCAGACTCGCTAACGTTTGCGTTTATCTGTTTGTAACAAACAGCAGGAATCGCCAAAACCAGTGAAGCATCAGGCAAGTGCTTTTGTTTATGCTTCTTAGTCTTGAGTGTTTGCGCTAATTTCTGTCTCTAGATCGAGTCTCTATTAGAAACAAATACCAGGAGTTGTGAGTGAAATTTACCGCAAAAAAGAAAATTTGATTTTGAAAATGTGTTGCTTAGAGACATCATCTTTTGTGAGCAGCAGCATGCCCTTTGGCTTTAAATGTGTTTTCGAGACAAGTTTGAATATTTCTCTACCCTTTTTATCATGACATTGAATCACCTGTTGATGAAGCCTTGAACCCTCAGGGTTTCGTGTGTCAAATACGAGATGGAACGATTTCAATTTTTCTTTAAATACACAGAAGCCTCGCTTTGGGCCATACGTTAAATTTTTGAGTTTGGGGCTGCAACTCTAAAGTTGTACCTTTTTGGATTTACACATTTCTAATAAAGTTTTTTATGGCCCGTATGTATTTTAAGCTGAGGGCCTTGTTGATATAATATGTAAAATTATCCTTTGTTATCCAGGGCAAGTGGTGGAGGAGTGTTATTCTTACTGGTTATCGAATGCTCCCCCCTTCAGGCTCCATAGAGCACAGCCGTAGACAGAGCCTTTCCTGCTACCCTGGAGGAGAGGGACATCTGTCCTGGACTTGACCCTTTCCCTGGCACTGGATGGCTTCGGTCTGGCTGTCTGCCACAAGACAATGAAACAGAGCTAATACGAAGCAGGAAAGCACAATGTTCTAGAAATGACTTACTAATATAAAGAAATTCTTAAGTGTCTATAGGAATAGTCCTATAGACAAGATTTTCAGAAGCCCTCCTTAAAATTCTCAAGATGTTCTCAGACAGCAAAGCTGTGCTAAGGCCCTATGACGTTCTGTCTTCTCCTTCAGCTGTAGAGAGCAGATCATTCGTACAAATAGGAAGGGTTCACGGAATCATTGTTGTCCTGGAGGACATTTAAAGGCTCTTTTGCTGACTACAGAAGGAACCTCTAGACCAGAAATTAGCTTTTCTCTGTGTCTTCGAGGTACTCGCTAAAATGACCTGTTAATGTGCACTTGGGTCACTAGTGAATTAGCATTAAATAACTGCTGTACAGATCGGGGTTTTCCAAATTCCACCATGGAATCCGTACACCATTACTGTTAACGTTTTGTTTCGATGTCATTTTAAACCACAGAATGGATCGCTGTTGTGTGAGTAGCATGCCTACCCCTGGACTGTACTTTGGGTCGGCTCCGTCGACAGGGGGCACGTTTTCCCAAAGACAGGGCAGCGACAGCTTCTCTGGCCATGCCTCCCTCCCTCCGTCATTGATTTGCATGTCCTGCTGCATGAACTCACTCTGCACATATCTCTGGGGCTGCTTTTCCCATGTTTATTGTAATAGTAGTCTAGTCCGGTGGGGGCTGTGCTTGTGTTTCTAGAAGACTGAGAAGAACACTGGTCCTCAGTTTTTCCTCCCAGCCCACTTGAAGACTAGGAGATGCTTGTGGGCGGTAGTGACCCTGCAGAGGGTCCCGTCGAGAAATGACTTCTTTGCCCACAATCGCTCCCCCTTCCCGGGGACCCCCTCACCCCATTTTGAGAATGACTGCCAGCAAGCAGTCTGTACTTTGCAAGGTGTTTCATTTGGTTTGACATCCCTGGTTTGTGAATTTACATTGAACGTTACAGGCAAAACTTAGGCACCCAGGAACCATTTGTATACATTTCTAGCCTTTTGTCACTAGACACAGTATGCGTTGTAAGAACAAGGGAGGGGAAGGCGTTTCGAGGCCCCTGATTTGGGGAGTCCTTTATTTGTCTCTCTCTGCTCATTCCTTGTTTTTTTTAACAGCTTCATCAAAATTTAATTCACACGCCATAAACTTCACACATTCATACAGTTCAGCATTGTTGTTTTCATTACACTGAGTTACACAGTTATCCCTGCAGTCAACTTGAGCGTGTTTTCATCCCCCCAAAAAGAAAGCCATTTGGAATCACCTTCCATTTCCTCCCAGTCCCCAGAAATCATCAACATACTTTCTGTCTCTGCGAATCTGTCTGTCGTGCATAGGATACTTGAATGGAATCCTGGCATTCTTTCCCTTTGCATGATGTTTGCACGGTTTATCCATGTCGTAGCGTGTACAAATACTCTATCCCTCTCCTTGGCCGAACGGTATTCCCTTACGGTAGGTAGGTCCCACTGTGTTTATCCATCTATCCATTGGCAGACATTTTGGATTGTTTCCACTTGGGGGCCATCTTGGACAATGCCCCAGGAACATTTGTGCACAGGGTTTGTGTGGACCTGTGTTTCCCATTCTCTTGGGCAGGCACCTGGGTGTGGGCCGGCTGGGTTACCGTAGTATTCGGTTTAACTCTTGAAGGAACCGCCCTCCATTCCCACCAGCAGTGCATGAGGGTGCCCCCATCTCCTCGCCGGCACACGTCCATGTCTGTTTTAGCCATCCGGGCAGGCTTTTGTGCTTACCTTTAAAACTTAATCATTATTGTGGAAATAGGAATAGAAACCACTTCTTAGAATTCAGGCCACAGTGGTTAAGCAGTAAACGTGAAGCGTTTACCTGCAAACTTTGGATACAGTTTTTATGACCAAGTTCAAGACCTGCTTGGCTTTGTGCCCAGCCAGCTGGAGGCAGTCTGTGTGCTGGGCTCCCTCACCATAGGTCGCTGTTACGGACCCTCAAGAGTCTGGCACAGCGTTCAGTGCTACGCCAGAGCCTGAATCTAGGGCAGAGTTAAAACACCAGTCAGTGATTTCTAAAACCTAACCGTCCCCGAAGAAGGGACTCCTCCATGCCAGCCTGCCTGCCCCTCCAACTAGCGAGTCCCCCACCTCTGGATGGCATCTTCCAGATGACTTCCTATCTACTGCTCTGAACGGCCTCGAACTAAGAGGTTGGTGACAGCAGGCACAAGTGCAGAAATTCGAGCCTGCTGGTTGAGATGAAGTCTGGTTCTCAGCGTGACGTCGAGCTGTTGCCACCCACGTTCAGCCCTCTTGTGGACCCTGGGACACCTACATCTGTACCCAGTCAGGCCTGCAAAGCCCAGCACGACCCCAGCCTTGCTGGCTCAACTGGAGTTTTCAAAGGGCTTTTTTTTTTTTTTTTTTTAACCAACTTCAAACTCATATCATAGGTAATGATATCTACCTAATATCATAGGTAGATATTAATATACCATATAACAAACAGAAGGGTATAGTTTTCATCATGATTGGTAGACCTTTAAAGCATCATAGAATTAATTCTAAATACTTAAAACTGTAAAAACAATTTCAGTAGCTAATGCTGATTAGTTTCCCCTACATTCCCAAAGACCTTTCTCGTTATCATATAGAATAATCGAAACCAGGGCCACTGCCCCTCCAATTCTGGTGGAAGGGTTAGCACTTAGTCACTGTCCCCTGATGGTTTATAACTGGCTTCATAGTTTGGTTGAGAGAGGTTAGCGCCATTTAATCAAAGTGTGAAATTGCACAGCACAGAAATGATCAAATTCAGCGGTAATTTCTTAATTTAAGACCCTTTTTGTGTGCTTTACGATGACAGCTTTGTGTTCAAGCTTTTTGTGATTCATTGAGGAGTTACTGAGAGCTTTGCTTGGTCCCATTGATGTCACCAGCCCATTAGGAGAAAAGTAATACCACAACCCTGCTAATAACCTAGTGACCCCAACAGCAGAGACACAGAAGCGGCCCAGTCGGCAGGTTCTATGGAGACAGTGCGGACCCTTCACCCGATTCTTCCTGCCAACTTTGGCTCAGCACCATCCCCTCCCGAATGCTGCTAGAATATTTCGGGACCTCTAATGCCACAATCATTCAGCAAACACTCCCGGAGCATCCTTTTGACCTGACACTGAGCTAGGTTCAGGGGATACAGCCAGTTTATTAAAAGCCAGCAGGAGAAAGGATGGAATCCGTAAATCACACACATGAGCACACCCACATGCACTCACACACAGAGAAAAGACTCCTTGTAGCCACATCTAAGGAGTATTAAAATAGGATATGCAATACTTTACCTCCAAGTTAGGAAAACACTTGAAAGGTGAAATGTCACTGAAATTATTTTTATTAGGATTTGGCGGGATGATAGTGCGTAATTCTAAGGAATCTATATTCTGTCTAGTTCCTAGATCTAAGTAGCAATAGTTAGTGCAAAGGTAGTGCCCCACTTAGGAAAATTCAGTGTTTTTCTGACGGTTTCTACATTCTGATCACAGGCTGAGTGAGGCAAGAAGCATTCTAGAGCCTGATTTTTGCAGAGCTCGTACACCCAGGGCTTTGCAAGATGCCAGCCGTGGGCACGGTGATGTGGGCGACTGCTGACCTCCAGGGGAAAGGCACTTGTTAGATTACAGAACGATGCCCCTTAATGATGCCTCTCAGTTGTTAAAAATGGTTGCCGGGATACCACATTTAAGAACCCTGGGAAGCCTATAATGTTTAGGAAGCTTTACAGCAGAAATGTGAAGTCCATAACCTGGGAGACTAATGCTACAGGGAGCATATTATCAAATGCCAGGAAAGGAAGTTCATCCCGCAGGTCTTAACGGGACTGGTTCCTGCCTGGTTTCAGTTGAACACCATTGTAGACTGCACTCAACACCTCTGAAGATCTGGGCAGTTCAGATCAGTGCTGGAGGGCAGACCTGTGGGGGGAGCGTATCTCACTGGGTCCTGTGCCTCTGGAGTACTTTCCCACCCTCGTAACGAGCGAAGGAGTCCAATTCCAGAGTTAAACGCCAACTCCATGTATGGCATTATATTTGTTCTTTTTGGATCTCATCATGCAACGCTCACATAGCAACTGGCCGGTAGTTAAGATCCTTGCATGAGGATCCTTTTATCCCTCTGCTCAGAGAATCACATTTGCTAGTGGTTTGACATCCTGTCTTTAGGTCTAGAATACTGACTGTGGTATTTTAAAATACAGGGGTAAGCTTTGTGTTTGGAAAAAGCAGATGTATCGAAGTTCCTATGATACACTCGAAAATTACGTTCCAGGAACACAACACCACTTTGTAGTGCTTTCCGTGGCCAGAAATAGCATCTTGCTTTCTCATGCAGCTTCTTATTGTGTGTCATGATTAAAGCACATATTAATATACTTACATCTTTTGTTTGTGGAACCTATTTCCTAGCCGAATTTGCACATAAGTAAAGACTCTGCATAAAGCCTATATTCTATCACATACTCTATAGTAAGCGTTTTTAAATTTGAGCAAAAGTCAGCAGCATCCCTATCTCCATCCTCCCTGCAAGTGTCAGTGAGGACATCATCCTGTCAGCATCATTAGGGTATCATGTGCAACCCTTGGAAAAATGACACATCTACCACTAGGATAGTGGTTATTAGAATTGTCTGCCTTCAGTCATTGGAGCAAGGCAGTATAAAAATAAACAGAAGTGTAAGTATTAATATGTCCTTAATTGAAGTGTCAAGCTGAATTTCATTTCATGAAAACCAGTTTGTTTTCTTTTCAAAATTCTCTGCCTAATTTACATGCCCTGCCCTCAAATTGATCTGCTGTTTAACGTGACTTTTTCTTCCCCTTCCGATCACTTTATACATGCTGTTTTTCCCTTTAGCAGAGCCTAATATGACTGAGAATAAAGCCACAAAGGTTACGAGATGGCAAACAGAATGAAAACACTGAGGAAGAGAGGAAGTTTATTGTTTTGTCCACCCCACCCCCACCCCAGGATTGGAGTAAAGATGTTAGATTAACCTAATCTGCTTTTATTTGTGTGTGTGTGTGTGTGTGTGTGTGCGCGCGCATATGTGTAATGTCTTTTAGGGGGAACTTGAACGGCAGCTCTTACAAGCGAATCCAATCCTGGAATCATTCGGAAACGCGAAGACCGTGAAAAATGATAACTCATCTCGTTTTGTAAGTTTAAAAGCACCCGAAACTTATAATTTCTCAGATTTTTAGTGAAATGTCTACTGTGATCCAGCAAAGAGAGTACTTGTCTTTTTTTCCTAGATTTTAGGGAGAGGCTAATAAAGGATGTGGTACAGAATGATACAGTCCTGTAGAGACGTGATGAGTCACATGTAATTTGCAATCTTCTAGTAGTTTTGCATTTTAAAAAGGAAAAAACAGGGCGCCTGGGTGGTGCAGTCGGTTAAGCGTCCGACTTCAGCCAGGTCACGATCTCGCGGTCCGTGAGTTCGAGCCCCGCGTCAGGCTCTGGGCTGATGGCTCAGAGCCTGGAGCCTGTTTCCGATTCTGTGTCTCCCTCTCTCTCTGCCCCTCCCCCGTTCATGCTCTGTCTCTCTCTGTCCCAAAAATAAATAAACGTTGAAAAAAAAATTTTTAAAAAAAAAAGGAAAAAGCGTGAAAGTAACTGTAATCCTGTATTTGCATATGTAATTGTGTATTGTACGGGTAGATGATCAGGTAGCCTCTCTGAACTTCTTCGTCTTTGGGGATGGTCTACAATACGTGTTGCTGAGCGGGCATAGAGCTTACATGAGGATGCATGTGGAGTACTTAGCACAGTACCGGGAATGTAAACGCTCCACAAACCAAGTCGGCATTCAGTGTAGTCAGCTGTCCTTTTCATACTTGCTGTTTCTCCGGGGATATGGATGTCAGAAGAATGCAACAATATGATTACTTCTCTCTAAAAATTACTTCTCTATAAAAATACTCCTCTATGAAAATAGGGTTTTCTTAATTCCTGGAAAGCTCTCCCCTCTTCCTCCGTTTGACCAGCTGTGACCGTTTGCATGAGGCTGTTCTCCTAAGCGGTATGTCCCCTGTCCAGCTACGCCCTATTGACGTGTCAGTGCCAAATCTTCTCTAAAAACATATCCAGCAAAATGGGCGTGCCTGCTGTAAACTTCTTGCCTTGAATTATAGTCCTTAAGATTCAGTTAACCATTTTCCACAGATTGGAGAGGGTCTTCAATTACAGTTATTTCTACTTAAATCATTAGAGTTAATTCTATGTTTTTCCTCCCTCCTCCCATCCTAGAAGTATTTGTACAATTCAAGGCCACATCAAAAGAGACTTTACTAATGACTCCTTCATGGATTATCTGGGGGAATCTAGTATCACGGTGACATACTCTTCTACTCTGAGTATAATGTGAAGTCCTGGCGTTCATGTTGATTTTCTGATGGCCTGGGTTGTGTGATTAGTGGAAGCAGCCAGATATGGAATCACAGAGGACCCATTGAGCCCGAAGGTAGCTAGCTAACCCTCTGTATGAGTTGGTAGGACTGCCTTGATTTTCTTTTGGAGGCTGGAGGTCCAGGGTTAAGGTGTGGCAAGGTTGGTTTCTTCTGGGGTCCCTCTCTGTGGCTTATAGATGGCCATCTCCCGGTGTCCACGTGGTCCGTCTTCTGTGTGCATCTGTGTCCTGTTCTTTTCTTGTGAGGACACCAGTCGTGTGGGACTAGGGCCCCAGTGACCTCATTTTAACTTAATTATCTTTGTAAAAACCCTCTCTCCAAATATAGTCCTGTTCTGAGGCAGTGGGGGGCACCTGGGTGGCTCATTCAGTTAAGCGTCCAACTTTGGCTCAGGTCACGATCTCGCAGTTCTTGGGTTTGAACCCCATGTCGGGCTCTGTACTTACAGCTCAGAGCCTGGAACCTGCTTCAAATTCTGTCTTTCCCTTTCTCTCTGCCCCTCCCCCGTTCATCCTCGGTCTCTCTCAAAAATAAATAAACATTTAAAAAAAATTTTTTTTTAAAGAATTTGAGATGGGACACGACTCAGCCCATGGCACCCAAAGAGGTAGTTCGAGTGCGAGAGGCTTTCCACATTATGGAGGAAATAGGAACCTATTTGTTTGGAGTATTGTTTATTCCTAGTAAGATAATCGCTTCATCCAAGTTCATTAGGTCATTATTTTAGCTTTTTATGGACAGAGTGGAATAACAAATATGCCTGTGTCAGGAGAAAGCGTAGCTGTGACTTTGGGGTTTGTAAAAGGTCTGGGGAAGCTAAGGTTCATTTATAGGGTTTTATCATCCCTGGGTCATCAGCACTGAGCCTGAGCCACATTTAAATCTTAAATTCTTCCTCCTGAAAGCCCTGCGTTTAGCGGCTGTATCACGGGATAGAAGACACAGTGAGCTACCAGCTTTGGGATGTGGATTTCCATGCAGATTTACAAGGATTTCTTAGTGGAAAATGCTTTATTTTACTACATAAATCAAGTTACCAGTCTTTTCTGATTTCCCCTGCCCCAAGCCACACTTTAAATTCAGGAGAAACCGTTTTGTGCCTGTTTGTCTCATCTTTGCCTGGAAAAGAAATTATTGGGGCACCAGGGTGGCTCATTTGGTTGAGCATCTGACGTGATCTCGGCTCAGGCCATGATCTTGTGGTTCATGAGTTCAAGCACCACGTCGGGCTCTGCACTGATGGCATGGAGCCTGCTTGGGATTCTCTCTCTCTCTCTCTCTCTCTCTCTGCCCCTCCCCTGCTTTGTCTCGCGCTCTCTCAAATCCATAAAAACCTAAAAAAAAAAAGATAAATTGCTGCCATCCGGTCCTTTGGTAAAGACTGTAGTGAGTGCGTTACTAAGCAGTAAGGACCCATCTGCCTGCCAGCGTTTGTACGTTTGGGACACGTGGAAATAGGATTCCGTATTAGTTACCTGTTGCTGTGTAACAACTTACCCTAACCCTGGTGACTTGAAACCTGGATCATCTCCGCTTCCATGTGATGGGTGGTTCTGACTCGGCATCTCTCGTGAAAGTGCCACGAAGGTGCTGTTGGTGAGGGCTGCGGTCACGTGAAGCTTGAAGAGGCCGGAGGCTCTTCTTCCAGACTTACCCGGGTAGCTTTTGGCAAGAGGCCTTAGTTCCTCCAAGGCATCCCTCACCTCAAAGACCTCTCTATAGGGATGTGTGCTCATGACATGGCAGCTGGTGGTCCCCAAGAGCAGATGATCCAAGAGAGCAAGATAGAAGCCACACAGTGTTCTTTCCCATCTTGGAAGTCACGGGCCAACGCTCTGATGTAGTTTGCTGGCCACGAAGACCAACCCTGATACAGCGTGGGAGGGGACTGTGCAATGACAGTGGTACTGGAGGTTGGGGGTTACTGAGGCCATCTCAGAGGTTGGCTGCCGCACATACATCATTAGAGAGATTTCCATATTGACAAAGGCAGGTTATAATCTGTAATTTGCAATACTCTGGATTAGCGGTTCTCAATTGGAGACCCTCAGGGGACATTTGGTAGTGCCTGGAGGCATTTTTGGTTGTTTGGTTTCCGTGATGGGTAGAGGCCAGGGATGCTGCTAAACATCCAACAGTGTACAGGATGGACCCCACGACAAAGAATTATCCAGCCCCAAATGTCCGTTATGTCGAGGTTGAAAAATCCTGCTCCAGCTTGTTTCTTTAAATTAGAGTCTGAATCAGGGCACTTGGGTGGCTCAGTCGGTTAAGCGACTTTCGCTCAGGTCATGATCTCACGGTTCATGAGTTCGAGCCCTGAATCAAGCTCTGTGACAGCTTGGAGCCTGGACCCTGGTTTTGGATTCTGTATCTCCCTCTCTCTCTGCCCCTCCCCTGCTTGTCCTCTGTCTCTCTCTCTCAGAAATAAATATACCTTTAAAATTTTTTAATTAGAGTCTGAATCAAAGTAATCACTTGTCAAAATTTATTTGCAAAGTAATTACTATACACAAGTCTCCTTAAAGCTTATTATTTATGCATCCTGTTCTGAAAGTGCATGTAAATAATTCTGGTAGGAACTTGTTTTACATCCTACTGGCAGGAAGAACTTCTTAGGTTGTTTTCTAGCAAGATCCTGCCAGCAAGAATACCTACCCAGTCTAAATCCTCAATAAACCCTGTTTGAGCTAGACTTCCACCTCCCAAATGTCTTATTCTGCCTATTCTATTAAAAGCTAATCTCCTGGGGCACCTGGGTGGCTCAGTTAAGTATCCAGTTCTCGCTTTCAGGTCACGATCTCATGGTTTGTGAGTTCGAGCCCCGCATGGGGGCCCTGTGCTGCGGGTGCAGAGCCTGCTTCAGATTCTCTGTGTCAAAAATAAATAAACTTAAAAAAAAATTTTTTTAAAGCTTATCTTTTAAGAAAATATTTTTCATTAAGGCCAGTGTTCCTACACATAGCTAGTTCAACTGAGAAACAAAAATGTCTTTAAATTGTTGACTTGGTTGAGTGATTTCGGCTCAGGTCATGATCTCCCGATTTGTGGGTTGGAGCCCCGCTTTGGGCTCTGCTGATGGCACAGGGTGCATCCTCTGTCTCCCTCTTTCTGCACCTCCCCACTCATGCGCTCTTTCAGTAAACATTTAAAAAAATAAAAATAGTTGACTTCGGGCTGTAATTCTTAGGAAGTCAACTTCATATTGATATTTATAGGATTTTTCAGAGAAATAGCATAGCCAGCTACTAAACTATCCAAAGGCGTTAACCGCACCAAGCTACAAAAGTAGTTGATTTTAGTGATTCCATAAAAAATAGCGGAGTGAGTGGCCGCATGGGCTGTCGGGAGCTCAGCTAAGTCGAGGCCTCCCTGTGAAGGTTTCTGTGGGCGCTGCTGCCGCCAACGCTTTGCTTCTCGCGGCGTCAGCGGGCGGCCCCGTGTAGGCCCGTCTTTTAATCACATGTTCCGGAATTTCCATCTCGTTGTGCAGTTCGGCTCATTACTGAGCTCCTGCCCTTTGCCGGGCCCTGTGGTGCCGCCTCGTTCTTGCCGTTTGGCGGTCTTCATGGTTTTCGCAGCTTCAACGTGTTCCAATTGGAACCTTTTCTATTCAGAATGTGCTCCTTCCGTCTTCCGTCACTCTTTGGTGCCATCAAACCTCCCGGCTGCGGGAGCGTGAAACGCAACGACGAAAATCCTCCCGGACTCCGCCTTGCCTCGTGGCCGGTGTCCAGACTGGAGTG